TTGCTTAATATAATTGTTATTTTCAGCTATTCATTTTTAATTCTCCTTTTTCAGTTGTTTCGGGGATTTCAAATCATTTTATATATTAGACAATGGAAGTCCGAACTAGTGAAATTCATATTTTGTCACATCCGAATATGAACATCTGCCGATCCCATGAATTTTAAAAATCTACTCGAAACATAGTTCATCATTGTCCAAATGATTTGTGTTACTTGAATATTACACAAATGCAGAATTATCATTTGTATAATTTTCTCAGGTTCACAACATGGTTTTCATCGACTGTATTTTTTGAGCAGTTTATATGAATAGTTGTCATGTTGAGCAGTGTTTAGATGCTTTGGTTGAGATTGTAGTAGGGAGAAATGTCATTAGTGTCAAATACGTCAGCATTGTAAAAACTGAAACTCCTTGGCACCAACATCAAAGGGACCAATGCTAAGTGGGACTACTGTATATAATTATACTGTGGCTGAAGATCTATCACTATTGGATGCCAAATTAGTTATCAGGCTCTCTTGGCTAACAATACGGTACAGAATTTTAGGATATGGAAAATACAGATAATATTGAGATTTGCAACAGTGCTTTTCTGCACCAATTGACGAGGCATATTGGACAGACCCTTCGCATATGCTAATAGAATATAGAGGCAATTAGCAGGACAAACTCGGAATCCACTCTCAAAATTGATGACCGAAAATAAGATAGATGTGATAGCCATTCAAGGAACACATGCAGCTACAGTATCAGCTCTTTCCAAATGAGGTGAGGTCTCAGGATACCGCATGATTGGAGCTTAAAACGATGTATATGGGAGCACAACGTATGTGCGCAATGGGATCGAAGCTGCCAAAATGAGGGTGATCACTACGAGAGTAAACGGTCCAAACATTGTGAATATAAACTGGCCGCGAAATGTGATTAAAACCTCAGACAACTTACCTACAATTTACATCGGAGATTTTAATAGCCATCATAGCCAGTGGGGATGTGAACACAAAGACGACAATCCTGAAAAACTTCTAGAATGGGCTTGAAGTAACAACCTCCACCTTGTCTATAGCTCCAAAGACAAACGCATGAATTTCGAGAAACTGACAGATACAGCCACTTTCTAGTTTCTGAACCGTGCTCTCATACCAGCCACGCTGGAACTTTACCAATGCAAGCTGGCCCGAAGATGCCAGTCAGCTAGACACCTGCGCTCGTTTCATTGAGCCAAAGGCCAAGAATTACCACCGTTTCGTGGAAATGGTACTCACTATAGTCAAAAAGCATATATCACGTGGTTTCCCGAAGGAATACATCCTGGGCTGGACGGATGATAGCCAACAACATGATGAATTTGTAGAGTCGGGAGAGCCGGATATTTCTGACAACCTGATGTCGTCTCTGGACACAACTGGATTGAATAAATGGAAATCAACTGTAGAACACTGATTGCTCTCGCTCCAACTGGAAGGCGTGGGGTCTACTGCGCAGACTGGGTGAAGCCAGCAGAGAACAGCACTCGAACAACTCAACTATTTACCCGAATAAGGTAGCCAGTAGAATAATTGGGGTCTACCGCGCTTCATCCGTGTTAGGAATCACACGGTAAAAGGTAAGACCTCGTTAGTCCTTAGCTCGCACAAGTTTCTCAACTTCTGACACCACACGGTTGTCTACAAAAAAGCCCTGAAACAACTTAAAGTAAAATCCACATCAGCTTCAGAGTACTCAAGCGACTTTACATTAGATGAAATCAATAAAGCACTTAGTCAGACCAAAGCAGGAAAGGCAGCTGTTTCGACAAAATGTAGCCCGAATTTCTGGGTCATAGCGGCGCACGAACTACAGTGGCTTAAAGATGTAATGGAGACCCCTATGCTACCCCGAGAATTCAAGATGACAAGGATCTTTGCAATCCTCAAACCTGAAAAAGACAGCAAATTCTGAGAACTACCGACCGATCGCTCTTCTAAGTTGCTGCTATAAACTTCTAGAACGACTTGTATATAACAGAATATATACCACCATTGACGCTGCTGTTCCAGTCGAGAAGACTGGTTTTAGGAGTGGGCCCAGCTGCAACGACTAGGTGTTGTCCTTTACACTTTTCATTGTGGCTGGGTTTGAAAAGTGTGAAAAAACAGCTATCACGTTCATGGACCCCACGGCCGCATACGACACTGTATGAAGAGAAGGCTTTCTCTACATACCGATAAGGGTCATGCCCGGTCTTGAAACTTGCCAGCTGATAAATAGCCTCCTGACCAACAGATTATTCCAGGTATATATAAATGGCACCACAAGCGGCGTCAGTAAGCTGAACAATGACCTTCCTCAAGGTTCAGCACTTGCTCCTTTGTTGTTTAACATCTACACAGCTGACCTACCTGAAACAAAATCAAAAAAGTTTGCCTAATGCAACGACTTGCCATTGCATTTGGAGATAGAACCAAGACAGTAGAAGAGAGGTCCTTAAATGAAGATTCAATAGCACTTGCTGATTACTTCAAGCGATGGCGAAATCTGTCCCAACACCAGCAATAATGAAGCCTGCTTCTTTCACTTATCTAACCGTTATGCGAACGACACTCTCAATATTACTCTTAACGGTAGGGTCATCCAACATAACACCACCCCTTAATACCTGGGTGTTACACTCGATAGGACACTGACGTTCAGAGACCACCTTACGAATATATCCGCCAAAATAAGAACACGAAATAATATAATAACTAAGCTCACCGGAACGTCATGGGGAGCAGGCGCGACCACACTGCGAACCTCCGCGTTGGCTTTAGTATATTCTACGGCATAATACGTGCAAGTGGACCTTCAGTTGGACCAAAAGATGAGAATAATAACTGAAACCATAAAATCCACTTAATGGGATGACTCCAAACTCTCAGTAACATCACCCTGCCGGATATACGACGCTCGACAGCACTGGCTAGAAAATATCGGAAAATCATGGCAAACGAGCGCTTCCCGATCCATGAAGAAGGACGCCAACGGCTGAAATCTAGACATCCTTCTACTAAAACCGCCTCCGAAATGACTGATGAATACAAAATGAAAGAGCAATAGACAGTAAGATGGCTGCCTACAACAGAATTAGACTACATCCAAGTAACCAACCCTGAACTTGGCTTCAATGGCTCAGTCCTTTCACATTCCAGTTGGTCAAAGCGGAATCGAATATGGGCAGGACAGAGTAAATGTGCCGAATCCCTACACGCAAAATTTGAGTTAAAAATCACATGGAAAACATATATCATTCTACAGAATATACATGAAGAGCCATCAGATAAATTTGTAAAACTGGACTATGTGTCGTAGCTTTGTTCACTCTATAGATTGTGTGCACCAAAAAAAGCATACATAGAAATTCTTTTCTTTCTTTTTTTGACATTCGTCAAAGTACAGGTTATCACGTAAAGTTGCCAATACCGACATCTTACCCCGCCAAAGACTTTTTTTGTTATAATGGCATAAAATATATAACCATTCACCAAATCATAACGAAAAACACAATATGAGTATCAAAAATTTCAAGAAACTCACAAAGTAGTACACATTAGTATAGTTTACAGTTACTTCATTTCGATCATGGTGTGTGAGCTTTAATTTCTGGTATCTTACAAATCATTTGCTATTTTCGGGTTTTTAGCCGAGGTCTGCAGGTTTTTAGGCCTGAAATTTCATCTTCAAGTGCAGTAGATATTATCAAAGGCGGTGTGGTTCCGGAACGGACCGTCAACGGAATAACTTTTCTGCACTTTACAAGCGGTGTAACGAACCATATTGAAAGGATCCTCGAGAAATATGGAGTAAAAGCCATTTTCAATCCCACTTAAAATCAGAAAAAAGTCTCCTCAGGTTAGCTAAAGATCCCGGGAATCAATTGAGTACACTAGGATTATCCCGAATACATTGTAGTATTGGCACTTTTTATTGGGTTGTTTCAAAAGTTTTGCCCGTTTTAATATCATGTGCTTTTGTAGCTCCGTATCTCAAATAATATTTATTCTACTGTGTCGTGGTGTATACTGATCGATAGACAATTTTGTACTCTTTACATTGCTGCTGTTCATTTTTTTCAATTTTAATTTTTTGACCCTTTTCAGCTCATTACTATATGATGTCATTAAGTAATTCTTGGCCAATTTTATTCTAATCGAATTGAGCAAGAACGCTGCCAAAACAACTGAAAAATTAACCAGGCATTTGGCAATGATAGTGTTAATGAATGCACTGTTAGACATTGGTTTGCGAAATTTCGTTCCGGAGATTTTAGCCTCGAAGATGAGCCCCGTCGACCTACAGTAATTGAGTACAAGAATCTGGGGACCCTGGTAGAGACTGATCAATCACACATGGTGCGAAAGATGTCGGAAGAACTGGGGGTCAGCTCCCACGCAATTGTTGATAGTTTAAAATGTATTGGAAAAGTCAAAACGGTGGAGAAATTGGTGCCCCACAATTTGAACGATCGACAGAAATTGTTACTTTTTGAAGGCTGTTCTTCTTTGCTTTTGCGCAACCTTAACGACTTGATTATGGATCGGATCGTCTCGTGTGATGTACAACATGAGACATTCAGAACAGTGATTGGTTACCGATGAGCCACGCAGACACTTCCCAAAGGCGAAAACACAGACAATGGTTACTGTATGATGTTGAGCGGCTGGTGTGATTCACTATAACTTTATACAACCAAGCCAAACCATCACAGTAGAATCATATTATGAGAAAATGGACGAAATTTACCAAAAGTTACGTCAGCAGCAGCCGACACTGGTCAAAGGAAGAGGTCTGATCCTGCTCCACGAGAAAGCTCGTCCACACGTTCCACGAATCACCGTCCGAAAATTAAATTTACTGAGCGTCGAAGTTCTGTGACAACCTAATTTATCGGAACCACAAAAGGAAGAATCAAAATGCGATTGACGAAGGTATCCGTGATATCATTTTTGACCTATGGCGTGTTCTAGATTGAACAAAAGGATATTATCTCGGCAACGTAGATCACTTCATCGCCTTCGGTAAGGTTTGCCGGCTAAAAACTCTAAAAACAGTACATGATCTATTTTATATTGACTCCACGTCGAACCGACCGGCTACCGTCGGGATGCGACAGCTGGTTAACGGAAAACAGATTTTAAACACATTCAAACAGATTTCCAAATGTTCAGTTCTAGATTTTATTTGTAGTAATCAATCATCAGGCATTTTGACCACATGTATTGTTTTGTTATTTTGTATACGTGTTTATCGATACATTTCACTTTGTTTTTATTCACCTGAAAAACCACTTCTTTATCTTGTTTTATTAGATACTTGATGTGTCGATAATAATATTTTTTTGAAAAATAAGGTATATTCATCATTATTATGAAATATAAAAGAGTCTTACCCTTCGATTCCATCAGGTGTTTTGCAACTTCTAGGATCTTCATTTTCATTTCCCTTTTCAACTTTATCGTTAGAATTCATATCTCCATTGGTGTTATAATCGTCACTGGTAATATGGTCAACAGGTTGCTTGTTGTGCAGATACATTTGGTCGTCAACAACCCCAGGTAGTGCCTCCCTCACAAAAGGTGCAATCGTATCTGTGACATTTCTTCCTAAGACATTCTTGCTGATCGTATAAAGAGCACTAGGGACCTCTGGAGATAGATTATTTATTGGCTCTCCACCTGCTCTTGTCATATTGACGAGGTATCTTCCTACTGTGTTCAAGGCCCCCAAGGTTTCCGTTATTTTGTATATCGTTTCTGGTTTGAAGTGCCTACCAGATTCTTCATTGTCATTCAGTTGATACTGCTGATCGACGGTTCTGGGTTGTGGTTGGGGAATCCGTACCCATCGCGGTGAATCGTTCTGTATATCAAACCAGGGTTGATGGTACTCTGAGTACTCATACGATACGGGAAAGAGCACACATAATATGGATATTCCACCTGGAAATAATAGTAGTCATGATTATATAGATTTCAACTATCGTTTATTATACAGGGTGAGCCATCTAAAACGTGACATGGAGGTTTTGGGTACTGATCTTGCAAATCCTAAAAAACGCTCAGACAGGTCGATTTTTATTGGGAGGGTGACATCTAAAACGTACCCCAAGACAGAACTGCCAGATAAATAACGCAAAAACCTAAATATACGTCAGGTTTTTTTGTAAGTGGGACAAGTTTCGACCTGAAATCCATTCAATGATTTAATCATTAAAAAGGGCTTTCGATTTCCTAATCATTTATAATTTTGAATATTGGTTCACCCGTTTGGAAGATATGGAGCTTTGAAATATCAACAATATGATTTATGAAAAGTACAAAAGTTAAATCGAGTTCAAATATTCACCTATAGTTTCAATCTGAATGTAAAAAAAATACTTCAGAACAATTTACAGTTTTTGCAGTTCAGTGAGTATTGTGTTATTTTTGGCCAATAAACTCAGATTTGTGAATTATGATGAAGTGCTTCAGAATTATTTTATAACCTTTCAAAATTATCAGTTATAAGATACCCAATTTGAGAAAAGGTGGAACTGATTGAACTTTATTCAAAATATAGTGAATGTAGATATTGGGTTATCGAAATATTTAACCTACATCATCTTTTCAGACATGTTGCTGGAAAAATTGTTCATGCATCGGTGACAAAAATTTGTAAAATTGCATTGTTTCTAATAAAGGAAACTTGAGTGAAAACCGGTACTCGATAAAGCTATACAGGTAACAATATATTGGCATGACTTGCAATGGATAAATATGTGGGAGAAATAGATGGAATAATATTGATGAATAGTTTAGTTAATTCAAAAAAAGTAGCTACTGCGACGGGAGTGAGTCGTACAAGTACCCGGTATATATATTTTTTCAACTTGGTAGTCGTCTGACTTGTCCATTTCTTTCAATCTGCAGTCTCATGAACTTATTGCATTTTCTCCAATCTTTTCACTGAAACCCAATCCAATAATCCTGTTTCCTGAACTGAACCTATCTGATTTTTGTTTCTCCAAATACTCCAGAATATGGCCGATCTTATGTAATACGATGAATTTACCACTCTAAAAGGGGCAACCTTTGCTTCGTCCATTAATGAAGGATGTAAAGGAGAAAAATTCAAGAGTGTCTCCAAGGCTGCTATTGCAGTGGTTTCCATTGCCCGTTATTCCCAAAAATGCACGTAATTGCACTATGCTCAGTTTATTAATAGCGGCCATTTATTTCATCTTTGGCCACCAGACCATAGATGCAAATTGAGTAGTAGAAAAGTACAAGTTATATATATTTGGTTTACCCCATGGTTTACCCCTAAAATTCATTTCCAATGAAACTTTTTGTCGTATTATTTGTTTACCATTTAAAAATTTATTTCCGATAGCCTGTTTTATTCTAAACAAAAAATGTCTCTTGGATTTTTTGCCCAAATTAAACCAGTTCGTAGCAAAAAACTATTTAACGAATTACTACTGAGACACATCGTCATAAATGCGACCTGGATTTATTGTTATTTTGTAGTTAGTACCTGCATTGAACGATTAAAGGGTAATAAACAAAACTAATATATTAATAACAAAACACACAACATGTAGAAATCATAGTAAATGTTCAATATGTCTACCTTCAGACATTACGCATGCGTCTAGACGTCGGCGCATTGAGCCACGTATTCGCTCAAATATTCCTGGAGTCTCTCTGATCACCCTGCACGCATCGAGGATGCGGTTTCTTAAGTCCTCTACATCGCGAACAGGAGTACGATAAACCAAATGCTGTAAATGGCCCCAAATAGAGAAATCGAGAGGATTGAGATACGGGGATCGAGCGGGCCAGTTCTGTGGTCCTCCTCGATCTATTCACTGATTTGCATATGTTTGAGTTGAATACTGACGTGCTACTTGACTAAAATGGGCGAGAGTCCCATCATGCATAAAAAACATATCCCTTCTGACGCCCAAAGGAACTTCATCCAGCAGTACTAGAAAATGAGGCCCAATTAAATCATCCCCAATAACTCCGAGCCACACGTTAAGAGAAAACTGTTCTTGATGGTTAGTTTCGACAATAGCGTGAGTTCAGGAAACAACTAATTCCCTGGCTAATACCACGAAGGTCGTTGGATTATATCCGACAGGTATCAATGCAGAATTCTTCACTAAAGTTATTTCTGCATATGATGTATCGCAATCGATATTCAATTATTGGAACACACCTGCAGACCGGTTTTGGCCGTTTGGCCACTCGTCAATGCAATGTATATCATCAACATGAAATCGATGATTTTTCCGTGAATGAAAATCGAATTCTTTCAGAGTATCATTCTTCGAACTAGCCTGAAGCGAACGACAAACAGTTTGTCATTGACCCATCCGCCCATAGCTGTAGGAATAACTAGTGAAGAATCCTGCACTGACACTGACACAGATATAATCTAACGTCCTTCGTGGTATTAGGTGAGTAGTTGTTTTCTGATAGGTGTCAGTCCGTTAACCTGCAGTGTAGGTAAAACTGGCCCGAACGGATTGTTCTTTTAGATAATTTGATCTACAGCCTGTCTCCAATTATGCCCACTCACTCTATGTGAAATAAATATATCATTGTACAGAAGTTGATTCATTAAGTGGACCCTTAAATAAAATTGAGCTGTGAAGCGGTGACCTTAGAAGCAGGCAAGTCAACAAAGGGACAGAGACAGCTCGTAATGTTTTATGCGAATGTGAGGCACTGGATCACAGGCGGCAAATAATTTATGGATAATCGAAATTATGTTAAGAATAATATAACAAACATTCAACAAGATACAGGTGACATAATTGTTGGAATGGGTGTCATGAAAAGAATAGGGGGAAACACAATGGGGCTGCATTTTTTTGCGGATACTTGAAATAAATAGACAAATCGTACAACTCCCAAGTAACGGAAAAAAATCAACGGACATCATTTACGGACATCATTTACTTGAAATAAGTTTTTAGGTAAAATCAATTTGATTTTTGCATTTTTCGAAAAACGTATTGCTGGCATTTTACAGCTTCATATCTCTTGAACGAGTGTACGGCAGCAGCAATTCGATTTGTTAGATATGCTATAGATAATCTATTTTGGGATTGTTATGTTACTTAGCTAAGAACATATTCATTAAATTTTTTACTCATATGACTATGCTAGTATGAGGAATGTGTAACATAGAATTATTTTTTCGTGTTGTGAAAAATTTGTTTGATTTCAAATTTGCGATAAATTGTTTGTAATAACATTATTCCTAGGTTAGTTGTAATTGGACGTAGAAAGTGTGTAGTTCATTAGGACTGATTAACTTTCCCTAATTTGTTATTTCGTTTATGTAGTCTCTAGACTTTCTTGAAGACTTGATTGAGCTTTACGCTGAAGATATTTTATTCTCATTGTAAATATCAAGTGCAACGAGTTGAGAAGATTAACACTATTTTTTGTTTATTAGCTAACAAACTCTAACGTTCTACTGGAAAATTTAAAACGCAAAGAGAGGTTATATACGTGTTATAATATAACGCAGTGTTTTTTAATATTTAGATTTTATAGGTTGTGTCTCAAAATTTGCTATTCCCTACATCTTTTCTGAATTAACTCTCCACTATACATAATATTTATTGATATAGGAATGTAAGCTTTCACGGCTGGCGTCAATGTTTTGATTGGTTTTCGGGTTTTGCCGAGGTTTTCTTCGGTTATAATCACCAAACATTTCAACTGCAAATGCGGCAGTCATCTTCAATGGCGTGGGCGAAGTACTCTTCTTGACGTGTCAACTGAAAGTTAAGTTAACGTATTGAGATAATCAAGGCGCACTTCTCACAGATTCTTCTAATATTTGTAGTTTCTTACAAGTCGTTCATTCTTGGTCTGAAAGCTCTTTGTTTAGACAGCATATACAATGCTAGTTCCTTATCATCATATGTGCCAATAGCTTTTCAATCAATCTTTTTGAAGAATAACGTTTTTTTTTTCATGTCCATTAAGTTTTTGTTTGTCATATCCTTCAGCTCATTTCTTTCATATGCTTTCTTTATCCTGACTGTTTTCTTAGTTTTCATTTTTGTTCTTAATAACTGTAGTTTCGTCACTTTTGAGCCTTATTCGTATTGTATTATTTTTCTCTTCTTTTGTATTGCTTCTTTATGAAAACTGATAACTTCATTCCATATTATCAGGGCTGAATTTATACTTGATAATGCCTTAAACTATGGCTCTGGCCCTTCATAAGTTCAGATATTCTGTCAATGCCGAATTTGATTTCCGGATGCCAGAGAGTTGAACTGAAATACAATTGAGAAGTATACAGATAGTGAAATAATTAAATGTTTGACTGAAAATCATTTTCATTCATAACAAATTTTAAAATANAAATTTAATAGACTATTGCACGCCTTCAAGTTGATTTTTGAAACAGTTATTTCAGTGTTTCAGTTCAGTAGTCTCAGGCAGTATAGTCATAAATAAATTGCTCTGCTTTATAGTGTGAATAAACAGCATAGACGTGTTGTATTACTAAAAAATCGATTTGCAAATGGAGAACGGTACCTAATCTATATCAGGTAACATGAATAATAGAAACAAACAATAAATAACGGCCATAGTATTTCTCTCTAGGTTATCTTGGCTTTTGCCTCAGTACGGGGCATTTAGCCAGCTCAATTCGGGAGGTTACAGGTTTGTCTGATCGATCGTCATGCTGTAAACCGTATAGCTTCTTGAAATATAATGGTTCTTCTGCGACGTCTGATTCTTCTGTATATCTTCGTGTGCTACAGAAGAAGTGGACTTAAAACAGATAGCACAAACAATAGGAATGATTATGGTTGAAATGGAATGGAAATGAATGAAACTAAAATGGGTCGAGGAAAATCATACTTTGGGTTTGTTGTGATCTAAAAAATGTATTGATATTTTCAAAATCAGAAAATTCAAAC